AGTTCGGAAAGGTCTGGAATTTACGAAATTGAATGTAAAGACTAAGATACAAAATATTATGGACAGAAAGAAAGATCTATCGAAATAAGATATAAGGAACACTCAGCGCACTACTATTACATCAGGACACATTGTAAAATTAATTTAAGACTAGTACATAAGGCAATAATATTGTAAAATTAATTTAAAACACTCAAAACGCAGGTACCTAGAAGAGGTGCCTGTGATATAAATAAGGAAAACTGTGTAAATAGGATTAATTTGATCTTCCTCTTGAAGATGATCACTTGGTGATCGAAACACGTGTGGAGGTGTTGAAATAACGATTTGGTGTTGGGAAAAACTCCAGTAATATTCATTACTATACTAAAGGTTCCAAACAGTGCATTACAGATCTTCAAGTTCAAAAAAATCTTACACCTAATATCAGTTCTTTCTTATTAGTCAGTGGGCTATGCTTGAAGACTGGCAGTAAACCAATCTAAAGAAATGAATTTCAAACGTTCAAGCCAGTCTCCAATATACCTACATAGTAGGTTAAGTAGGTTACCACGAAGGGCGTTTGATTATATCCGACACTGATGAGTGGCTAATGAGCCCAAAGCCGCTCTGCAAGTGTGCCCGTTCCAAAATTGAAGGTCGACTCTTCCAGTTGTATTGCCAATTGCATATGCAGGAAATTTCCTGTGAAGATTCCTGCACTGACGCATGTCGGGTATAATCCAACGCCCTTCGTGGTATTAGCCAGGGGAGTAGTTGTTTTCTGATAGGTGTCAGTCCATTTAACCTACTGTGTAGGTATATTCGAGACTGGCTTGGAAGTTAAAAGTTCATTTCTTTGGATTTTAATATCAGTTCATTTCCAAATGTTAATATCATTGAAAATTAATGTACCAATTTGACATTGTTAAGCAGTCACTTTCAAGTGTACTCAGCAACTCTGTGAATGGGAGTTTAAAACTTTTAGGATCTCTTCATTATTTTTTCATCAAGAGTGCCGGCCGTAGGTTGAAAGTTTTTGAAAAAATATTTTAAATGGGGAAATCAATTACACACAAGTGTAATTGATTCTTGAGAGTTTTGGTGAACTGATGATTATCAGATGAATATTTTTACGCTGTCTCTTCAAAAAGTTAGTTGAATTTTAATTTTTCTCAAAAAATATTTATTCATTCAGCAATTTCTATTTTGTCCGCTTCAAAGTAGCCCCCTCAGATATAAGCGCCTTGTGCCAGCGTTGTTTTCAATTCTCGAAGCAGTTCTGATATGCACTTTTTAGTATGTCCTTGAACTCTCTCAGCGATTCGATTTTCATCTCCTCAATCGTTGCGAAATGCCGTCTTTTCAAGAGAAAGTCGAAAGAGGTCAAATCTGATGAACACGTTGACTGGGACATGTTTATGGAGTTGTTTGGCGAAAACAATACGAACAAGAAATGGAAAGTGAGCAGGTGTATTATCGTGATGCAGAAGCTATGAATTGTTTCTCCACGTTTTCTTCTTATTGCTTTCCGTAAACGGCGCATAACTTTAAGAAAATACCCATTCTGTATCTGTAGAGTAGGGAGGGTGACATTTTTGCCACATGTGACCATGTGGCAAAAATTTCTTATGCAATACGCCACAGTAATTGATGAAAACAGTGAGCAAAACCATTTAATCGAACTTGGGACGATTGGACTTTGGTTCGAATATCCATGATTCGTCACCAGTTATGACCCTTTCAAGCAGATCTGAGTCGTCTTTGACGTCATTCGACAATTTGATACCAACTTCGCTGCTACACGCTGCATGCATAACAATTTTCTTAATTTTCTTAACATTTTCATCGGTTGTTAATGTGACTGGAACTTCCAGGGCTAGCGTCTTCATTTATATCTTCCTGACCTTTTGTGAGAAGTTTTTACAACTTGTACACATTTTTTTGACTCAGAGTAAAATCACCGTATGCCAATGTCACTATTTCAGGTGTTTTTGCGTACCTCCTGTTGTCGTAGAAGATGCATCTATCATCACACGCGACGATCCGATCCAAGAAATAAACGATTTGGTTGCAAAAAAGCAAAAAATAACAGACATGGTAACGTATCAATTTCTGTCCATCGTTGAAATCGTGGGGAATCCACTTTTCGAGCTTTCTAACCTCACCAATACGTTTGAAACCATCAAAAACCACATGGGAGCTAACGCCCGGTCCTTCCGCCACCCACAACACCGTTTGAGATGAGTCAGTCTCCACCAGGGTCCTCGAATATTTGTTCTGGATTACTGTAGGTCAGCCACTTCGAGCTCATCTTTGAATCTGAAATCTCCGTAAGAAACTTTTTTGAACCAACGTCGAATAGTGCATTCATCATTAAATGCGCTTTGGTTCAATTTAATCCCTCAACGACATCATATAGAAATAACCTGAAGAAAGGTACAAGAAATGAAACTAGAAATCAAAAGATTCCAAATCAAGTTACAACACGACGTTTTGATTGTTAGTATCCACAATCATCTGGATAACTGGACTTATTCTATTCCTCCGAGATATGACTATTTATAGATCATTCGAGTGCTTTCACCTATCCCCTCTTTCCTCTCTCCACTTCATTGGTTTTAGCAGGAGATGACCATTTGACGGGAGTTGGTCATTTTCCTCTTGATTAGAGATTTCCATATGTTACGTATCTCTATGCTAGCTTGGCTAAAAGCATTGTTGGACAACATATACGCGGATTCTTTGAATTTTCTCCTGAACCAGTCTTCCTCCTTGTGGATGATTTCAGCTTGATCCCACTTGACGTTATGTTGATGAGTCCAAACATGCTCTGCTATTCCGGATTTGCCTACGTAGCCCTGAACGGGCTAAGTAGAGACAACACCATCAAGATATTATTTGTAGATGAGGGAAACGCTACTGTTTTGATGGATACTGATCTCTACGAACAGAAGATCGTAGAGGTGCTTCAAAAAGGAAAATACACGAAGATTGTAAGATACCCTACTGCATCAATTGAAAGGAAGTTGTACCAGACTTTGAAAAAACACCAAGTTTATTTTTCTGAAAAAGAGAGATAATCACTAACACCGCACCACAGTAAGCCTCCTCACTTGTATAGACTACCCAAAATCCACAAAAAGGATATTCCGCTCAGACTGATCATTAGCTCCAGAGATTCAGCCACTCAAAACCTGTCCAGATTCTTACCATCAATGAGCAAACCACTGTAAGGTAAAACATCATCTTTTGTGGAAAATTCAAGGCAGATCAACTGATCAGTTTCGACGTGGAAAGCCTCTAAACCAACGTTCCTGTCGAAGAAGCACTTCAAATTATACAGAAGAAGCTATCCAAAGATGGGGACCTAAAAGAGAAAACAAACTTATTGATGCAAGTAAGAAACTCTGGCCATTGAAGAATTTCACAAGAAGCCCCAAGTCTGGTTGAGTTACGTAGACGACACCTTCATAATATGGAACCATGGGAATGCAGAACTTGACACTTTCCTGAAGCGCATCAACAATGTAAGTCCTTCCATCACTTTCACAATGAATTGCCTATCTCAGACGTATTGGTGAAGAGGACCGACACTAAATGGGAAACATCTGTATATCGAAAACCTACTCATACAGGACAGTATCTGAACTAGAAATCTAACCACCATCAATTGACTAAGAGAGGAATTATCAAGATTTTACTAGACCGTGCTTTCGGGCTCTGTAATACAAAGGAAGGTCTCGAAAAGGAACTAGGCATCATAAAAAATTACTTTCAATGGAATGGTTACTCCAGAATGATGATAGAACCAGCTTTAGCTGGAAGATAGCAACAGCTCAACAAGGAAGAGAAACCTCCACAACCAGTACTTGTACTTCCCTACATCAGATGATTAACGGAAAGGATATGAAAGATTGGGTCCAAGTATAATATCAGGACCTGTTTCAGATCTGGGAACACTATCCGTAGCAGCCTCACGAAAATCAGGCCACCAAACGCGGACTGCGATTTCAAGAATTGCATTTACCGGATACCCTGCAAGTGCGGAGGATCATACATCGGTGAAACTAAGAGGCCATTGAAAGTTTGCATTGCTGAGCACAAGAAACACACATAGCGAGGAGAAACTACCAAATCCGGAATAGCAGAGCATGTTTGGACTCATCAACATAACATCAAGTGGGCTCAAGCTGAAATCATCCACAAGGAAAAACACTGTTTTAGAAGTAAACTCAAAGAAGCCGCGTATATGTTGTCCAACAATGCTTTTAGCCAAGTAAGCGTAGAGATACGAACATATGGGAACCTCTAATCAAGCAGAAAACGACCAACTCCCGCCAAACGGTCATCTCATGCTGAAACCAATGAAGCAGAGAGAGGTGAAAGCACTCGAATAGCCTATGAATAGTCAGATCTCGGAGGAATAAGTCCAGTTATCACCCGAAGATAATTGTGGATACTAACAATCGAAAAGTCGTGACGTAACTTGATTGGGAATTCTTGTTAATGATATTTTCTAATTTTTTAATTTTCAGCTGGTTCAATTTTTTATATTTTTGGTTGTTGCTTGCATGTTATTTTTTTGTAATTTTTGATCGATGAAATTGTTATTTTTCGGTTAACCTTTTTAATTTCTCTCAGGAGTTTGGAATCAATTCATATTATATTAGACAATGGAAGACCGAACTGATGAAATACATCACGAAACATTTTCAACTACCTTCAAACAAATAACTATCATTTTTCACATATTTTGCTCAACTTAAATTGGTGATTTTTTCTTTATTGGACCTAGTATCTATTGATAACTGTTAATCAAACTCTAGTTTCATTAGTACTATCATTATGAACTGCCAAATAAAACTCGTAATTCAATTCATTCATAAAATATTATGAATATAAAGATAGAATGAATTGAAATATCGTACGATACATGTCTGTGATGTGGCTATTACAGACATGTACCGGACGTAAAATATCATTCTTTAAATCAATTAACTGGAAATTTTTTCACCTAGGTTGCTCTAGATGTTCTGAGTTACCACAACACTTGTACAGAAGAAGAATACAGAACCACTTTGGCAAAAGGGATCCCGAAGGAAATCGCAGGTATCGATGACTATTACTTCAATCCTTTCGAGCTGAAGGATTTCGACAAAGCCAGACACGCGATGTATATGTTCAACGATTTATTCGGATGCAATGGTTTCGACCAAAACTGCCTGCTGAGATTCATTTTGACGGTCCGCAAAAACTACAGAAGGGTGCCGTATCACAATTGGACTCACGGGTTTTCCGTAGCCAATAGCATGTTTTGTATACTCAAGCATTCCCGGGGAGCTTTTGAAAGGAATGAGGTGAGTAGTCCAGGAGCTGGCAACAAAAATGTGTTAGAGTTTTGTGAAGGCTAATATCTCCAGATTAGGTCACATTTTGGTGGTCAAATGTCAGTACTTCCCATTGGGACGCTCTGAACTGTATTCTGAAAGCGCGAAATGTATAGAAAACTAACGAATATGCTATAAAACACGTACTCACAGTCAGATGGCAGTATATATGGAGACTGGAAACTTGTGAAAAATTAAGAGAATCAAAGTGATAAGATTGTTTATTTCTTTCAGTATTCTGTTGGGACAATGAAATGTAAAAATGAATCACTAGGTTGTCTAGTACATAAATTATCTTGAAATCTTGAATTTGGTGATTTTTTCGACTGTATACAGAAAGACCTAAAACTGTTAAACTGGTGAAAAGAATTTTCATTTCTTAGTTCAATTGTAGATATTTTTATAGGCGACAACTCGCTGAATGTTTTCAAAATCTAAGTTTTAGTTCCTTTATGACTGACAATATGATCACATCGCCTCAAGAAGAATATATGAAAATAGATCATCAGTTTCAAAACAGACAGTTAGTCAGGAAGAAGTTTCCTCATTCAGTTGCTTTCCTTGCCCCTCAAGAACCTTTGGACTCGTTTCTTAATTTGAAATATCTAGAAAATACTAATAGATTCTTGTTTTATGACACTCCTTCGGATAATCCTGTAGGATTCATTAACCGTGATCAGCAAATTTTCATGCTTGATGTTTGATCTACGGCTGCGGTTGATATTATCGAAAGCGGTGGCTGAAATACGGGTATTTCTAGTCACTGTTTCGCGAAGTGATTTCGGTATTGGTATTTATTCCCGGTTTATGCATATGCATATGTATGTATTATAATTTCAAGTTGGTACCTAAGGTATCGTCGAAAACATCATATAGCTACGAATCGGGTTACCTTTTCCATCACTAGGTTATAGTTTTATGCACGTTATACAAGAAAGAACGAATAATTGGGCCTCTTAATATCAATTCTATTGAAATTTAGTCAGGGCATACTTTTGTCATGGGTGATGATTAATTAGATTATAAGAGAAATGATCCAGTGATTCTTCTCATTTGTTTGTTTCCAATTGACTGCCCATCGGTTGTATTGAATATGGTTGAATTGTGTAGACTTAGGCTGGATAACATATTTTATCAGAAACAGGAAGTATATTTCAATCTTGCTTCGTTCAGATTCTAATAATCCTGTCATTTTCAAAATTTGTTCTCTCATATAGAATTTTTCACGGTTATAATGATATTTGATGAATCACAAATAAGGATATGGTACCGATATTACTCTGTTTAGGTCTAGACTTCAGTCATATTTTTGTTATTCATTATTTATCAATTACTTATCTGATTATTCAGCTTACTTTATTTTTCAGTGAAGTTGATTTATGGAAACTTTGCTGATATTATTTAATTTCTCCAGATCCTTAAAAGACCATGCATTTAAGCCGTGGGCAAGTCCAACCTCTGGGGACATAACCAATCCGAGCACTCTCTGAAGGTAGATAATTAAGAATTTCATCTGCTGATTAATCCAACCAATAATTATATATCTGTGTGATCAGAGGTGGCAGCGGCTGTCGCGTACCACTTTCGATTGAAAAAACTAATTTTTTCGACTGCATTTTCTTGTTGGAATATGATTATTATCATATATCACTAGGGATTTGAAGAGATCGCTACCAGATCGGTGGGTTAGCACAATATAAATATTATAGTCTAGAATACGTAGTAACTTCATAATGGTAGTAACTCCTCAAAATGGTCGTGTATATCAGTATTCCTCTGAGCACGTAGTCTATTCAACTGCAGAAGTATCATCAAATGCGCCCTCTCGTTTCTTTTGTTCCTGGGGGCGTATTCTGCTTTTCATGTGATCCAAAAAAAAGTTGTTTCCTTCGACATACTTGCCTCGTAAGTTCATTAGTATCGATCCAATTGTTTTTTACTTGTCACTAATACATTCTCAATATTTCTGTCAGGTTGGGTTCTCTAATGTTTCGAAAGAAAATGGTATGCCTCTGATTGGTCTCGAAATCTCGGTAACCCCAATCAGTACCAATGTTTTAGAGCTATACTACTGACTCGCAACTTCAAAACGCTTCATATCAAGTGGATATTGATTATCAATTGAATGAAGGAACAACATTTATGTACCAAATATGCCAAAGATGTCTACAAAATTATCTCAGTTATTATTAAAAAACTGATTATTTTTGAAAACTTTGCCACCTTGTATCTCGAAAGTTAGGGCGTTTAGGACATACGTCCATAGGAAGTTTTTGTTTTTAGAAATGGGTCTTAGAATCACCTCCTTGAATATTAGCATGTGTTTAAGGAACATCCTGTATTTCGTAAAATACGGATAACCAACAACGATGTGAATCATTGGAGAAGGGAACCTTTTTATCAGCTTTCACCATCGATCTTGAAGTCAAATGAGACAAAACCACTTGAAAAAAATCGTTAAAAATAACTGCTTCGATGTTTCAAGAGATTGGATAAACAACAAAGGGTCGAAAAATTCGTATCCACTGTAACCTCATTAAAAAACTGCAGAGAAATACTTTAAAGTATCTAATGGAAAAACAAGTTTATTTTCTGAGAGGTCAAATGTCAGAACCGAAACCGAAACATCCTCAATTTCAACCGCTTAGGAAATGAATGAAACCGTATGTTAACATTCAAGTTAGCCAGGAGAGAAAATATAAAAATGGCCAAAAAAGCGACACCTAGGTATGAGTAGTGAAAATACTATGTTGAATTAATTTTTGCTGACTCATCCGTCGGACTGAACAGTACCAGTCTTGGAAATAATTTCAGAGTCATCTGATTGATAGGATTTTCTGGTAGATTTTGAAATGTGACCTCTAAAGGGACTGTGGCTGAAAAGTTTTGAAAAAGATTTCAGTGAGTCGCATAATAACTGATGAGTCCTGGGGAAACTCTTGAGTGGATTGAAATACGAGGTATTTCTAGTCTCTGTTTTGTGAAGTGATTTCGGTATTGTTAATTATTCGCGGTTTATTTGGTCTTGTTGATTTTAGGAAAAATTTCGGCTCCGTAGGACTGCAGGAGAGTTCCACTTTCGATTAGTTGGTGAGCGCATCTGTAAAATTCATATATATTATAAATATGTTAAATGCATATGTATGTACTTATTCTATATCTCCAAGTTGGCACCTAAGGTATTGTTGAAAACATCATATAGCTACGAATCTGTTTTCTTTTTCCATCACTAGGTTATAGCATTTTATTCACGTTATACAAGAAAGAACGAATAATTGGGCCTCTTGATATTGATTTTATTTCATGGGTGATGATTAATTATATTTTAAAAAGATTGATGTGAATCTTCTCATTTGTTTGTTTCCAATTGATTGCTCGGTTGTACTGAATATAGTTGAATTGTGTAGAGTTAGGATAGATAACATATTATATCAGGAACAGAGAGTGTTTTTCAATCTTGCTTCGTTCAGATTCTAATAATCTTGTCATTTCCAAAATTTGTTCTCTCTCATGGAATTTTCCATGGTCATAATGTTATTTGATGAATCACAAATAAGGAAATGGTACCGATGTTGCTCTCTTTAGGTCTAGACTTCAGTCATATTTTTGTTATTCATTATTTATCAATTACTTGTCTAACTATTCCGCCTACTTTATTTTTCAGTAAAATTGGTTTGTGGAAACTATGCTGATATTATTACATTCCCCCAGACCCTTGAAAGAAAATGCATTTGAGCCATGGCCAAGTCCACCCTCTGGGAACATAACCAAGCCAAGCGCTTTGTTAAGGTAGAGGAATAAAAATTTCACTTGTTGATCAACCCAACCACTAATTATAAATCCGTGATCAGAGGTTGCAGCGACTATCGCGCTACCGCATTCAATTGAAAAAACTAATCTTCTCGACTGAACGATCTCATATATAGGGGGTGTGTATTTTCTTGAAGGTATATAATTATCATCACATATCACTAGGGATTTAAAGGGATCGCTACCAGATCGTTGGGTCAGTACAATATATACATTATAGTCTAGAATACGTAGTGAATCCTTATAATGGTCGTGTATATCAGTATTCTTCTGAGCATGTAGTCTATACTCCTGCAGTTTGTATTATCGATTTTTTTTTTCTGAGACGTCTGGATGATTGATTTCGAAGAAGAATCACTGAAAGCGCCCTGCCCTCATTTGTTCAATAAGCAGTTGCAAGTTTTCTTTTGATCTTGGGGGCATATTTTGCTTTTCATGTGATCCGAAAAAAACAGTTGTTTTCGTTGATATACTTGCCCCGTAAGTTCATTAGTATCGATCCAATTATTTTTTTACTTGACACTAATACATTCCCCATTTTTCTGTGGGGTTGGGTTCTCTAATGTTTCGAAAGGAAATGGTATGCCGCTGATTGGTATCTAAGTCTCGGTAATACTAATCAGTCCCAATGTTTCACAGTTGTACTAGTGACTCACAACCTCAAAACGCTTTAAATCAAGTGGATATTGATCATCAGTTGAATGAAGAAACAACATTGATGACTGCTCTTTGATCCTCTCTGATGCTACTAGCAGCTGGGAATCATCTGAAGGTTTTTTATTGTTTTATTGATTCACTGAAGGGCCTTTTGAAATTTTGTCACAACTCATATACCGATAATAATTATTCTTCACACAACATCGTTGAATTCCACTCACTGTTCAGGTGATTTTTGAAGAGTTTTATGACCAAGGAGACGCAGAACGAGCTGCCGGAAGAAATCCCATCCCTATGATGGACAGAAATCGACCTGAAGAGCAGCCTGCAAGCCAAGTTGGATTTTTGACTGGTATCTGCATTCCCTGTTACGATCTTCTTCATACGTTGATACCCGAAACCAAAGCGTTACTTGAAATGTGCAAGCAAAATTTGGAAAAGTGGAAGAAAATTGATATGGAGTTCGCCAAACAATAAGGCGCATGATGCAGGATGTGAAAGTGGAGCTGTAGATGAAGAATTCATGCACTTTTAGGAGTGATGTTTGAAATATCCTCACTCAGAGCTGATATGATGTTTTGTATTTCCATAGTTTTAATCAGTTCTTTCAGAATCTCTTACCACAGTATTGTTTAATGTTTAGTTGCACATTGATATGCCTAATTTATGTTTTTGAATGCATTTTAAAGAAACTATTGCCTCTGAAAAATCTAGTATTACACATGCACAATTCTTTCGAAGAGAAAAATATCTAATGTGACGTAGTATTTATTTTCAACTATATTTTTCAACGCAATAGGCCAGACGTTATTTTCCCTCAAAAAATTAATAATATACCTTAAATTGCGAATGACGTGATGGCATGGTCTATTTGAAAGTATTTATTTCTATATGGTGTCTCATTTCCCCCCCCCCCTCTTCCTGCGGCTGTTTTGTTTGAAATCGTTTGTTTTTTCAGTCGGAAAAACCGTAAACTTCAGTTATTCTAATTCCGTGTTTTTTTGCAGAAGAAGAACAGTGTGGTGTCCAAGTATAGAAGGAAAACCGCTCAGCAGTCCCGGAACTCTGAAGCTATGCAAAAGGCCATTGATGCAGTGAAGAAGGACGGGTTACCTTGGCAAACCGCAGCTAAAAAGTTCTAAGTACATCGAAATAGGTACTTTAAAACGGTATGCACTCGACAAAAATGTCCATGAAGTAAACACAAAAAAGGTTCTTGATCACTTTCGGCCCATATTTACTGAGGAGCAGGAAAAAGAAATAGTCAACCATCTTTTGGACATGGAATTCCGTTTTTTTTGGTGTAACAGTCGCTGATCTACAGGCTGTTGCCTACAAACTCGCTGTTGAAAATTGCATACCTCATAACTTTAGTCATGAAAAAAAAAGCTGCTGGAACAGATTGGGTACAGGAATTTAGAAAACGCCACCATGATTCCATTACGGAAGCCTGAGGCGACTTCAGCTGCACGGGCTCAAGCGTTTAACAAAACTAATGTATCAAAGTTTTACATTTTGGAAGGCATTCAGAAAGATCACGTATTCCCACCTCATAGCGGAAGAAAGGAACATCAACAGTTCTAACATCCAGTCCATGTAAGGCCACTCTCATGACAATTATGGAAGAATAAGAAGATAAAGAGAATGCGAAACAACGTAGACTAAAAGCAAAAAGAGAAAGGGAAATAGAAAAGAAACAGCAAGCTCCTAAGAAACGGGTGGCTAAAATTGAAAATGAAGGAAAATGCGCATTGTTCAAGAAAAAGAATTACGATCTCTATAATGATGATGAAGGCAACGTCAGCGACGTTGATTGTCCATTCTGTGGTGATTGTTACTCGAAATTCAAGAACAACGAAGGCTGGATTAGATGTTCTGGGTGCCTCAAATGGGCTCACGAAGCCTCCACAGGAGCCGAAGAGGAGGACGATGAGTTCATTTGTGATTTATGTAAATACCAGTGATTTCATAGTTTCACATACTTGAAACCCTAATACAATCGTTTTGAGTTCTGAAACTAAATGTGTTTTATTTTTTCCATACTATCTAAATCCATTTAGGCAGTGGCCACTTTGCCCTACCTAGTGGCCTAAAGTGGCCACTTTGACAACTTTTGGTAAAGTCAAAATTTTGTACAAATAAGTTGAAAAATCTAGTTGTTTTTATTTTTGGATCAGGCCTAAGTAACCATACTAAATGTTGAAGGGATTCATAAAATGTTTCAACAAAGTTTAGGGGTGGAAAAAAATAGATGTTCCTTAGGGTGGCCACTATGCCCACCCCTCCCCTACAGGGTTTCGTTTGTAATTTTTGACTTGGATGTACTCGTTCTTTCAGTTGAACCAACATAAGTTTTCAACTGATTTTCATTATTCATGATAGTACTCATATTGCTTTATGATACAATTCATACAAATTATCGTCCTCAATTATTAAATATCAATGGTTGGTAAACAGGTAGTTTCAGGAACAGGTACAAAATAGGTAGAATATTGTCACTAGTTATTCGTTTTTTTTTCTGATTGATTCGGCCGTTATTTGATGAAGATCCATAGTAATTCCAAAAACTACACCTCACGATTTGATCTCCACAAATTCTATTCGAAAAATATATCACGACATGTTTTGCTAACACAGCAGCAGTAATTTGAATACTACAGGTTGCTTCTTACGCTAATATTTATATATCTCAGGTAACTACAATTGGGACTAACTCTATCAAATTATCTAAACCTCTCAATTCTTATATACCTGAGATACCTCTTCAATCATGATTACAAGAAAACAAGTTCAATAATGGTGATCTTTTCAAATCCAGTTGGTCATTCATCAGAATGTTTGAATTTTTAAGTTCATTAATTTCCATTGCTTCCACATGATTCAGTTTCAAACCTTTATTTTCTATAAGTAAAATTTCGTTAAAGATATGATTTTCTTCTAAAAGATGATTTGAATATGTTGAACTTGTTTTCTCATTTACATAGATCATATGATATATATTCCTGGATTCGATTCCTAAATGTTCTGCCAGTTTGACCAATATATACTTCAAGACACGTTCCACACTTTAATTGATATACTCCTGATTTCTCGAATTTGAATGTTCACTAACTTCCCCAACGTATTACATGTTTTCAATACGAAGGAACTCCATTTTGAGCCCTGAAGAAGAATTCAATTGAATTAGAAAAGTTGGCAAGAATAAAATTGTTCTTTCAAGAGAAATAGATCCGGTTATCTAACCTTTATTGAAAAAAATTATGTTTTGTTCTGTTTTGTAGGAACCATAGTGGTATAACATTTATGCAGTTACCGTTATTCTGTATGACTCTAAATGAAATAATTATACAAGAAAAACCAACATCGTTATAAATCGTGAATCGATTTAATTTTGTAACATTTACATTGCTTGATATTTACAAGTAACATTGTGTTTGATGATGTATAATATGAAAGTATTTTGTGCATTTAGAAACTTGCGTTTGTAACAACTTAACCATGCCAGTATATATGAAGGTATATTTTCCTAATCAGTAAAAAAATACTAAGTCGAACTTTTTCCCCGAATGAAATCATCAGATTTGAAACATGTTTATGTTTTTGAAATCGTTGCACCATAATTTATTCATGATATTCAAATATCAATCTATCAAGCTTTGAGAGTGTTCCTCTGAATTGGACCAGAAATATAACAGAAAATAACAAATCGCCTAATTTATTGAATACACGTAGACTACATGTGTCAGTTCTCAAGACCACATCCGTCATTTTCAACATTATTTCGTCTCCAGTGATATGAAAGTTCAGTGCAGACATTTTCACGTGCCCCCAGCAGCAACGTGACTGAAGTTTCAGCACAATTTGGGTTTGTTCGCTTGACTTTTGAGACAGGTCGTCCTCTTCTGATCGGCATTGACTGATTTCGTTTCATAGATACTAAGGACATGGATGTTGTTTGTTGGTTCCTGTAATTGCTTGAGAAGTATCTCTTTTGCTTTCTGCAGAATAAATACCTGAAAAACATCAACTCAGATTGAAAGAGCTATATGCATATTTCAGGAAGAATCTGTATATAGTTTCTTTAGAATCAGGGACCACAACATGGTCCATCCAAAGGTACAGAAAAATATCACATAGAGGGAAATACATTTTTGTCAAAATCCGTAATTTTGAAGTTATACGCGTTGGGAGAAAATTATGGGAATACATTTTTACCATTGAGCACACTGTCATGGAAAACCAACACCCTGAAGTTAGCTCCTTCTTCTTCTTCTTCAATTCATATGGCCGTTGCTTCTCAGTCAAGCGCATTGGGCCAGACTCCTCCTGTCCATAGAGAACAGAAGCTTCGTCCGGGGACGCAGCTGTCTTGGTCGAGGCAATGCAGCCACCCTAAGTTTTCTCATTCACTTCTCTCTCATAAAAACACTTCATTTGTTTACTAGGAGGCCGCCAGTCCTCTTGATATGACTTTCATGAAGAACACGTCTGCTATCGCATTGACGACCTCGTCGAATCCGTCAACACCCACCCTGGTTACTGGCGTAGGGGGCAGCCAGTCCCATTGAAATGTCTTTCATTTCAATATTCATTTGAACTTTTATTTTACAAAAAACATCTCAACTTCGACTACGACATCCACATGCCATATTTGAGGATGGTCGTTATCGGCGTGAAAGTAAAGGCTGGCAACTGTATTCATGAGTTGATGACCTTTATATAGTCATCTCTAGGAGGAATAGTTCGGTCATCACTTGAAGATATTTATGGATACTGACAATCGAAACGTCGTGAAGGAACATGGTATGAATTTTTCTTAAATTCGTTTTTTATTTTTCTTTTCTTTTTTATTTATTTTAACCCTGTATTCACATTCTCCTGCTCAATATAAATTATATTTCAGATGTCCATTCTAATTTTATTTGTTCTTTTCTAGATTCGGAATCATAGCAGAATCATATCAGACAATGGAAGGCCGAACTAATGAAATCCTCCTTGAAACATTGACAACCAGCTCAATATAGCTAAAACGCTAGAGAGTAATGTAAGGTGCTTCAATTTCATTTCACCCCATATGTTAATCTAGAAAATTTTGCTGATATCCAACAGAAGGCTTTTTTTACACATTTTACTGACCACTTTGTCTTTGAAAATTGGGTTCATGAATTTTGAATGTTTCCAGGGTTGATTTATCATTATACTGTAGATAAATACTGATGAATTTTTTTTGTATACTCAAAGTCAACTTGTGTTTAATTTTGCGATACCCTGATTCTTGAAGAAATATTTTGTAATATGGTAGAAATTTGTTGTTATGGCTTTGTTGTGCTTCATTCAAAAATGAAACATCTTGCCACGTACGGTTGATTCACCTCAAAATATATAATTTATTTATAGTCATTTATAAGCATGTTTCTACTTTTTTCTTAAACTCCAGGAGAGATTCCATAAAGAGTTACTCAGTTACGATCAGTTTTATCTCATGATCTGATGATCGCTGAGTTAACAATATTATCACATGCGCCTACATCAATGCACTAGTACTACCAGACAACCCCTATTAGCCTTAAACAGACAACGTATTACCTCAGGGCTAGTACGAGTGTGCCACCAAGATTTAGCCAAAGCCTCGGTAGATAATAAGATTATCCTGAGGTGGGTTAAAGGGCACGACAGGAGTAAAGGTAATCGCATTGCCGACTCTTTAGCCAAGGAAGCGGCTGGACTGATAATTTCAGGACCCAGTGACACCTACCATGACTTCGACAATTGCGGAACTAGCCAAACGTCACATCCATGCTCAATCCCTAAAGAAATGGAATGGAATCAAAGGATGAAATCTTGCCAGAATCACCCTTGGCAACTCTGGAAAGGTGGCGCCGAAGCAATATCTAGCGATGACCAGGAAAAATCCACGTTTGACAGTAGGATTTCTGACTGGCCACTATCAACTAAGAAAACACCTCCATAATTTGGGGCTAGTAGACACACCCCTATGTAGGATGTGTGAACAGGAAGATAAAACTGTCAAGCATGTCCTATGCGAGTGTCGGGAGTTATCGTCAATAAAAGAGTGTGTGTTTGGCAAGTCTGGGCCTAAACCTGCCGATATGAAGGAGATGTCTCCTAGTGACCTGTCCTCCTTTCTGGAACGGACAGGATGGACGATGACATAGGAGGACAACTCCTCGGGAGGATGTCCAATGGGTCACATGTGGCCTAAGTACTGTGGGACTACACACACTCTCCCTACTCTACAGATACAGAGATAACAGATGCAATGATTAACATTATTCATTCGCGGAATGGGTGATAACACTAACAATTAGAAATTGCCTTGAACTCAACGTTTCATAATAACATAGTCATACTAACCTCTTGAAATATTTTCTGAAAGTGCCACTGACGAAGTAAAGCGCCACTGGATTAGCACAAGAGTTGATGTAGCATAAACAGAAGCCAACTATCCTCAAGTAATGCCAGAAGGCATTGTACGACTCTTGAGCGTTTGGGTGGAAATAAAAAAACATCATGAACGTATGTAAGGGAGCAAAACAAAACGCAAAAACTGCTACGAAAACCAGAACTGTAATTGCGACCTTCTTTCTTGCTTGTATCTGGAAAAAAAAGAGATTGTGAATCCGTTGAAATGAATTATTTCTATCATATTCACTAATTGCACAATGTACTATTTCAGGACTACTTCTTCAGAAAAAAATATTATTACTTTTCAGTTTGGTATAAATCATTGTCGCTCTGGTAATGATGAACAAATTCATAACTGGAAACTATCTTCTTCAGATCGATCTCGCAGAACGCCAGAGGTAACAAAAATCTGATTGAAGACAAAGGTTTGTATCAACAGTTTTGTGTGAATTAGTTGAAATTTGATGACGTTATCCGTAAAAAGTCGGAGCAACAAACATTAATCACATATTCCTACTGATATTGATTGAAAAGAATAATAGCCGTATTGAAAACATATTTGATGGTGAAATCCAATTCACGAAACGGTAATTTTGAGAATTGTATCAAATCGCAACATAACAAACATGAAGGTCTTATTTTTATGATATTTGTTTAAACCAGTCCGTTTCGTCTTTGGCCGATGCGTGATAGTATCATATAAAATGATTTGAAATTCCTAAAATAATCAATACAAATGAAAAATTAAAAGCTGAAAATAACAATTATACTATGCAAAAAAACTTAAATTTTTAATTTTTCATCTTTTGTTTTAATTGTTCTTTTCACATGTATATAATTTCACTGTAATTCATTTCAGGTTCGTTTTTGCTTAATATAATTATTATTTTCATCTTTTCATTTTAATTTTCCATTTGAACTGGTTTTTTCAGGGATTTCAAATTATTATTTACAATATTAGGCAATGAAAGTCCAAACTTATGAAATTCATCACGAAACATTGTCAATCACCTTCAAATAAACCTCAGCTAAACTTGTTGTCTTTATAATAATCAGTTATTTTGACGCATACTTGGCAATACAGTTGATCATCACCCGTTAAATGTTCTATTTTCAGATGATTTGGCAATAAGCTTTGCACGGACTGGTTATCAGTCATATTAGGAAACGCTAGTTGAAGGTCCAAAAAGTCATATACGTTTTGATTCCTCTTGAACCTGTATTACAAAGTAAACTCGTGTGGATTTTCCCAGCAAAAGATCTACAAACACAAGACAAGATATACTGTACAGAATCATTCAATCCAGAACTGTCAGGAGTATTGATCCTGCTATATTCCTGCTCACGAAGAGCAACATGAACCCCAAGAATTTGGAACAATCCTCTTGTTATCCTGACGAGTATTTAGTGGACTTCAAAGACTCCAGGAATTCGGTTAGTGGGAAAGATGATACACTCTTACGAAACTGCAGCTGCATGAACAGGTGTTTGAGTTTGGTGTATAAGTAGTAAACATTCTCGTTCTCCTTCATCCTTAAAATGGAGAAGGTAGAGCCACCAACAAACAAAATCTGTCAATTAAGGTTTTTGCAAATATCTCAATGATGATCTATTGATAATCGATTTAGAAAAAAATATTTCCATTGACAACTTTGGTCTAATTCAAGTTATCTTATGAACTACATCGGTCGGTCGGTAGCCAATCGGTTCGGCGTGTGTGCTTTGTTCACTCACTCGAATTGACTGCCGTGTTGGTTGGTGGTTCAAGTCCTAGTGTGAACGATCGATCTTCACTTGCTACCGTCCAACCCGTGTTAGGAATCACACGTTAAAAGGTAAGACCTCGTTAATCCTTAGCTCGCACAAGTTTCGACTTCTGAGGGTTGTCGTTCGTAGGGGTGCGACAGCTGGTTAACGGAAAAACAGGTAGACAGATAGACAGACATAATTTTCGAGATAGCAACAATTAGATCAGCAATGGTTTGATGAAGGGACCCCTTCACCATTATCGCATTCACCAAATGTTTAAGTCGTCCAGTGTAGGTATTTGATTTTGAAATGAAATAGGTACCCTGTATATTATTTTGTGTTTATATTTTGATTCAAAAACTGAAGAAAAGGCAAAAATTACACCCTCAATACATGTTAAGAATATCTTTCACCTTGATCAATATATTTTATTATGTTGTTTCAAGAGTTTTGTCCGTTTTCATGAGTCAACTTTGAACTTCAATATATTAGTGAATACTTATTGAATTCAATCGAAAGAAGCTTCATTTGAATCAGTACATTTTTGGCAATGTAACACAAGTCGATTAATTCTATCAGCACGAAAATTGTGTGCTCGGGATTCGATGAAGTCGAAGAAGATCGTTTTAGCCAGTTCCTGATTGACGAAAGTTCTAACGATGAGAAAGTTATCACAGTACTTGAAAAAATGGTAGTCAGTTGGCGAGAGGTCTGGAGAGTATGGTGGGTGCAGCAGAGCTTTGACGCTCAATTCGTTCAAGTTTCGGACGGTGATTCATGAAACTTGCGGATGGGCGTTGTCGTGAAGCAAGACAGACCTTTTGTATTGACCAGTGCCGGTTGCCGCTGTTGCAATTTCTTGTACATTTCGTATCAGTGTATAGAATACAAAATTTGTATTACACAGTGGAATGAATATGTTTTGAGATACAGTTTTCGTAATTTCATTCTACTTCGTTTGCTTCTATAGTTAGGGAAAAATTTGTTAGATTCCAATTTCTTGGCACCAGTAAAACTTCGATAACTCTCAATGTTTGCTTATTCTCCCAACACTCAACTGAGTAATTTCTACCGGAAAACAACTACTTCCTCGGCTAATACCACGCTGGTAATTGGATTGTATCTATGTATGTATTTATGCAACCTCACAGAGGTTAGTCCAGTAGCAGATTCTGCTGCTGGATGTACAAGATAAAGCTGTTACTAGTTAACGATCTTTCTCTCAGATGAAAGTTTCATATATGCAGCGAAGCCGCGATGAAATTTATCGAATCCCAGGCACTTTGGTGTCTCGGTCGGATCTTTCCCGCTTTGATGAAAGGTAATACCTCGAAACCGGTCTGTAGGTGATCTAATCAAATAATATCAACGAGTTGAATACATGTCATATCAAAGTTATCTTGATTCAAAGAATGCATTGAACACTTCTCAGGTAGGGTATATGGAAATGAGAAATATTTGAATTTTATATTATTCGAACCAAAAAAATACAGGGTGTTGTATTTGAAATAACAAAGTTATCTTTGTCTGAAATTATAAGAAAGTGGCAATGATATTTGAACATAACTTATGATATGAGAAACACACTAAACAATCGTTCTTGAAATACCAAAACCAGAGAAAAACCAAAGATGGCATACTTACCTAAGACCTAGATTAAATAACACATTGGACATTGATATGGAAAAATTAATTCCCTAGAAATGTTTGAAAGTCATACATAAAAATGGTTACTAAGTTTACCTCGAGAAAACTTACACCGATTCATCGATACAAAAAATAATTACTACATTACAAAACTGTGATGGGAGACGCTGCGAAGAAAAAAAAAATCTAAGAAGCTACCTTGAATTGTTTGAATCAACTCTAGTTCGTAGACTTTCTTCATCCATTCTTTCCTTTCTTCTTTCACTGTTTTTTTTATCTAAATTTTTTTTATCTGCAACTACATCTTATTATTAAGACTAACTATGACTCATCGAATGATCATCAAACATATCACAATTGTGGAGTACTGCTGAATGATAGAAGCCGGTTTATGTTCTAATCTGAGATTTTTTAAAAGCCCGTTCTAAAATTGTCGGTACATAAACGTTGTTAGTTATGATCACATGAGTAAAGGACTGATATGCATTGATATTGACTAAAGACTGTTAGTATATATCATTGATGTTGCAACGTTTATTCCTCTCAGTTGGAAATAAAGTGCAGCTCCGGCAGCTGTTCGTCTCGGTGAGCAAAAATTAAGGACGAAGGCATTTGAGTGTACATCTGACTGAGAACAGTACAAAATTATGTAAATGTATTAAAAATGGCTAAATGTAATAATCAGAGTTCAAAGTTCGCCCTGCCGGGGTGACAAACTACATTATGAATTGAAAAAAATATTGCATTCACTTGAGCAACCTGAAAATATAAAGGGAGCAAACAATTACTATTCGGAGTCCAATTAATCGGCTAAAATTAAAGTTCATGTTTAGGAATACAGATATCAGTAGTATTTTATCCTAAGGGATCAATACCATTTTTTAATTTTTGCACAGATCTTCACCTTGCGATCACCCAGTACTGTGTGTTAGCTCACAAATCATATAAATTGATAATTTCATGAATTTAAGGAAAATTATAAAATAAAGAAAATTGAATTTATTTTAAAATATATCTGGCCTGTTACTCCTGGACAAGCGACTCTGATGAACATAAAATCTGGATTGAGTTTAATTTCCGCCTTCCTTCTGAACAACAACAGCTCAAGGGATCCTCAGCAGAAACAAATTGCAAATAGTTCCAATCCACGGAGATCCTGTACTAGTGTGTAACCGTCCCTACAACCTACGGGGAATGATTAATAGGAAAAAACCAAAATCCTTGCTACTTACTCCACTGGAGGAGGTTTAAAACTTCAAAAAAGTTAACGAGAGACTTTTTATTCCTTACAATTCGGAAGTAGAGATTCCACAACTTCAAATTCACTAATGAAATTCCGTAATAAGAGAGAACGGAAATAAGTATTTACAATAGAAAACTGGCAACTGAAATACTTACAAAAAAGGAAGCAGGTAGTACACAAAAAAACTAGCAAGAGGCGTTTTAATCATCATATATGATTCAACTTCAAGAGGAATATCTTATGGAGGAGTGTTCAAATCGACAAATGGAACTTATCGGTTCAGAACGCCATTTATTGAAGGCTCGTGATTTTTCCAAAACACATTCGCATCCACTCTTCATGAACTCGCCTTAAACTCTGATCTAGTGGTCATCTACGTACTATTCGCATTTGCGCAGATAGCGGCGGGACGAATATCAGGGTGCCATCTCTGGGAGATAGAGTTGGCATATGGACTTTTGAAATTTGAATATGAAAAGATCTGACTCAAAAAAGAATATGATCAGAGGCGTAATCAGCAGCGATGACCAGGATAAGGAAAAGAGGAATTGATATCTATAGACAAGAGAAGCCATTTCAAATCAAAATATACTGAGGTATTAACAGCTGATTTTGTTTAACTAATTCGATTTCTGTCAATCACTGATTGACACCATTATCTTTGAATTGTTATCATAAATAAAAAACAAAATTCTGACTGTATTTATAACTGGAATATTTTTCGTGAATAAAAATTAAACTAATGATTTTGATTCATTATTTATAAAAGAAAGATTTATTGGAAATCACGTTAAATAGGCAATCAACATTGCATTCAAAAATTTTTTCGTTAGTCTGGACTGTGTTTGAACATTTCTGAGCGCTATCCATTCTTGAAAAGTTGAACATTGATTTCGCTTTCCATACCTTTTCGGCTTCATAGAGATACCTATAACTGTTCTCATGAAATTTTGTGTTGAACCTCAAGTAATCTTTAAAATGTTAAAAAAGTAGCATTTTCGAATGCTACTATGTATATAAAGTGAAAACATTCTTTTCTTTTCTAATCCTTTCCTCTTTTTTCTCTTCTCTCTCAACCACTATACAAAGCAATGCTTTATATGGCCAACTCTTTATTCATTTGTAATATTGACATTGGTTACTGTAGTTGTTTTTGGCAAATAAATATTATTTTTATTATTACTAATTTTATCGAAATCAAGAGATCAAAAGCTTTTTTATGCTTCGTTAAATTCGAAGGGATTGTTTCTGTACATTTTCATGTTATATAATTTCCAATTGTAGGTACCTCGCATTTTTTAATGAAATTGCTAGGTACCTAACTGAAATGTTCTAACTGTTACGTTCTCATTTAAAAAATTATTCATCGAAATCGAAGCTGCTTTTGAGGGCTCCTGAAAAATTACTTCATTGATTCAACAGTTTGGGTTTTCATTCGATTCAAACGGTATTCATATCAAGCATGTTTTCATTGCCTTCGGTTTCAAAGACCCCGATGAATCAACAAGTTGAAGATAGAAAACTTTATACAGAATGGAGAGTAATCATGGAGTTTTACCTGCCTCTGCATGCCCTGTAGCTCTCCTGGAACATTCTTTGTACTCGAGAACAGAAAAATAGCCATGCTGAGATAAAATATTGTTATGATAACTAGTGGTACCACATAGAGTATCAAAAATTTGCTCAGGACCATCACTTGTGCATATCTATCCCCCATCCAGTGCGTGGGAAATGGATAACATACAAAAAACTGCGGATTGTTTTCCGGGATGCCTTTTATATGCGACCCAAACGCAGCCGGGGCGGCACAGCAAATGGCAAGGATCCATATAAATACTGCGGTGCAGATTGTAACTCGGGTAGCTCTCCTACCTCCACCTGAAAAAAAATTACTGATATTGGTATTATTGAAAGTCAGTTGTTGCCAACTGTTGAGAGAAGATAAGGATTTTTCGGAGTCGCAATACAATTTTTTTTCATTTATAATCACACTGAAATGGTGGAAGGCAATGAGACTGCAGACTCCTTTGCAAAGGAGAGTGTTGGAGGGTGTCCGATGAAGCAGCTTCATCGGACCAGAACCTATCATTACTATGGGCTTAAACAAATATTCTTACAGGTTACTGTCATTTGAATCATTATATGCAGAGACTCGGACTGTCAGAAAACAGTGTGTTTCACCTCTGTTTGGAAAATAATGAAACAATGAAGCACATACTTTGTTTCCGCCCCGCTGGGGACCGATTCAGGTTTTTAGAGTTTGGCAGAGCCGTACTCTTACCGTCTGATCTGAAGGACCACTCACTATACAAACTAATCGGTTTCGTTGAGAAGCTCTGGATTTATTTGGTCGAGTGTGGATAAGTGTGAGCCACAATAAACCCTTGCAGATTGTGGTGGAGGCTTGAAAAGACCCTCTCACTTCGGACCTTAATTAACCTAGCGAAAAAATCCTTCTTCATGATACAATTTTGCGTTTTGCATTTGAAAACATCCAGACAGATTCGCCTGCCTAATAATATCGGCCAAAAACACATTTCAATAAGCCACAACAAAGCTATCGTAGTGGCCCATTTATAGAAGATAGCCATATAGTATCGGGTTCTAAAAACCAATTTCTCTGTAGGACATGTAACATTTCGCCAGCGCACGCGAATAGATCAGTTAGATATCATTCCTTTTTAACGACTTACTTCAGAAATATCAATATTCAAGTCTGCAAAGGATAAACGCCCTCGCATGAGAGTACTAAAAGATCATGGGAAATAAAAATTAACACTACATCAAGATATTGAGGACGCCATAAACACAATCGTCTCCGCTTCACCACCGACTAAAACGGTAAGTGCAGCAATGCAATAGGAATTCAACCTCACCAGGGCATGGACCCATGCCCTGCATTACCCAAAAGCCTCCAGGGTTTGACCCATCACGCAGAACCTGGTCACACTTTATACAATCAGAACGCAACTTGGCAGATTCGCATACCTCCTGCACAAAAGGGGCAAACAACCACCACCGTACTGCGACTGCGCAGAATAGCTATTAAGTTTACTGTGTCTGAATTGCCAAACGATAAATAAGTAATATTCAAGGCATAATAAAAATGATTGCGTAATGCTAGGTAGCCTATAGCCCACCTTATTAATGTGTCTATTATACATAAAACGCATTTTTCAAATTCCAGAGATTTACGCGTTCAAACTGAGAAACAAATAAAAATCGTATTATATCAGTATGAATAAATGGAGTACATTCACACCAATACACTAACAGTCTGCTCAATTATGAATTTGATGGTTGAAATTGAGAGTACATACATGAGAGACTATATATACATGAGAGAAACAAACCGTATACGTCATGAGAGAACCATTCAGTAGTATGTTTCTGTCATCCCGATTCACTCGATTTAAAGCAAATTTCTTATCAAAGACCCTGCATCACCGGCCAATATTTGTCACTATGTTTCTAGCGCTTTGCAGATTTTCACGGTTTCGCAGACAAATCCCACGAATAAGATGAAATAATCTACGACACCTTCATAAGATGGAACCATGGGAATGCAGAACTAGACACCTTCCTGAAGCACATGAACAACGTAAGTCCTTCCATCACTTTCACAATGGAAAAGGAAGTCCACAACGAATTGCCATTTTTAGAAGTTTTGGTTAAGAGGACCGACACTAAATGGGAAACATCTGTATATCGAAAACCCACTTACATGGGACAGTATCTGAATCAGAAATCCAGCCATCATCAATCGACTGACAGATAAATCATCAAGACTCTAGTGGACCGTAATATCGGGCTCTGTAATACAAGAGAAGGTCTCGAAAAAAAACTAGGCATCATCAAAAATGGCATTCAACGGAATGGTTACCCCAAAAGTGATGGTGAAACAGACTTTGGCTAGAAGACAGTAAGAGCTTCACAAGGAAGAGAAGTCGCCACAACCAGTACTTGTATATCAGAGGATTGATGGAAAGGATGAGAAGAATTGGGTCCAAGTATAACATCAGAACCTGCTTCAGATCTGGGATAACTATCCGTTGCAGCCTCATGAAAACCAGGCCACCAAACGCAGACTGCGATTCCAAGAACAGCATTTACCGGATACCATGCGAGTGCGGAATATCATACACGGTAAAACTAAGTGGCTATTGAAAGTTCGCAATGCCAAGCATAAGAAACACACCCAGCGAGGAGAAACCAACAAATCAGGAATAGTAGAGCATGTTTTGACTCATCAACTTAACACCAAGTGGTCTCAAGCTGAACTCATCCACAAGGAGGAACACTGGTTTGGGAAAAAATTCAAAGAAGTCGCATATATGTTGTTCAACAACGCATTTAGCCAAGCTAGCAACATATGGAAGTCTATAATCAAGCGGGACACGACCAACTCCCGCCAAACGGTCAGCTCCTGTGAAACCGATGATGCGTAGAGAGGGATATGTGAAAGCACTCGAATGACCTATAAATAGTTAGATCTCGGAAAAATAGGTCCAGTTATCACCCGAAGACGATTGTGGATACTGACAATCGAAACGTTATGGAGTAATTCGGCTTGGAATCTTTCAATTTTCAATTTCTATTCCTTGTTGATGATTTTCAACTTTCATCTCGTATCAATAGTCCAATTTCATTGCAATTTCAGTGTTTTTTTGCTAGATATAATTTGTTATTTTTTCATCTAATATTTTTGATTTTCTATAGATTCTTCCAGGGATTGCAAATTAATTTATATCATATTAGACTATGGAAGTCCGAGCTACTGAAATGCGCCACGACATTTTGTCAACCACCTTCGAACAAATATTTAGCGAATATTGCTCCAAAACCCTGCATAGCCACTGGTCTTGTGTGTAAATCATACTTTGTCTACTATGAAGTCATGAAGTAAAAATTCATAGTCGTTATCTACTCAGGTTATATCAGATTAGACCTAGAACACAACAAAAAGTATGTACAACTAAGTTTCATTGCATTATAAAATGATATAACGTATTGTGAAGAAGATTCAATACATCTCAAAGAATCTAATGTTCTAATTACCTATCTGAGGCACAGCCTTCTAACAAGATATATAATTAGAAATTTATCCATTTATAGATCTACTACATGGTATTCAACATGTCCATTCACACTTGAAAAAATGAGTATCCAAAGTGGATATAATTAAAAAAAAACAAAAGTTAGTATACAATTTGAACTGTTATTGCAGAGTTGATGATAAATATGTGAAGTAACAAACAAATACGTAGATATACATTAAAAAACACATTAACATATACTAGGTCCCTGAAATAAATATATGAACAAATATCGAAATATTTTTGTAATGCATATTGCTTTAGCTATTCATGTAAGACCGGTTTCAGATTGATTGAAGGAAAATGTTATGCGAGGTATACCGTTATCATTCTTCTTAGACAACATTTGTTGCTCCAGTTGCACCTTTCAGGGCGAACATTTTGTAAATATTGGAAAATGTACAGGCAGTAAAAATGTACAGAGTTCAAGAACCCTTTCATTTGGAGAACTGTGATTATGTGGAATGGACTTCCTGAGAATGTTTTTTCAGATGGATTTAGTCTTCAGTGATTCAAATCCAATGTGAATCGCTACTTTCGCGCAGGCACCGCTCTAAGAGCGCCTTGAGGATTTTCCTGTAGTGTTTTGTCCTTGAAAGAAAGGAATCGAAAGTTTCAAGTGCGATTGTTGTAGCATTAGATAATTTGCAGATAATTTGACAGATATTAGTATAAACAGAATTGATCGGTTCCAGCTAATAGATAGGATGGTTCAAGATTATTTGAAGCGTTGGCATTTAGAGTATCTCACTTAGAGAGAGTAGCAAGAAGAAAATTATCGGAAGTCGGTCGGTCCGATTGTTTAAACAATTTACGGTAATTCGGTATAGTTTTACGGTGAAAGGTGAAAGTCACTATAGCGTGCTTTGATCCGTTATTCATTGGGTTAAGGGTGGTGTTTTTCCTAATTCCTCCTTTCCTTCCTAAAGCCATTTCCAGCACCATCAGAAATCGAGAAGACAAATTACGGACCAGTGAAGGTAAGAACTTTCTTCATATTTCTTACAGAACATTATCGGGATGTTCTAGAAAATTAAAAGAACAGCGATTATGATTTTTTTTTATTTTCAGTATCGAAATTCAAGTTATCCAAAAGGTTGATTTGAGTTGAAGAACTGAAATCTAAAATGAAAAGTTACAATTTGGGATTATTACGAACAGTAAGGTTGTTATTGCGATATCTGACATAGAAAACTCAATTTCGTTAGATTCGTACAAACTTGTTGTAAAAAAATGGTATCATATCTAATTGAACTACTTGAAATAATATTCAATGTGTGTATCTGTATCTGTAGAGTAGGGAGGGTGAGTGTAGGCCTACAGCACTCAGACCACATGTGACCTATTCTACAACCTCCCGAGTTGTCCTTCCAGGTCATCGTCCATCATCTCTTTTCCAGGAAGGTGGACAGGTCACACGAAGACATCTAGTTTATATCGGCCAAGACTCGCCGAACATACACTCTCTCATTAACGATAGCTCCGGATACTCGAATAGAATATGCCTGACAGTTTCATTTTCCTGTTCACACATCCTGCTTGGAAGTGTGTCCACTAGCCTCATATTATGGAGGTTTTTCTTAGTTCACAGTGGCCAGTCAGAAATCCTACTGTCGAGCATAGATTTTTCCTGGTCATCGCCAGATATTTCTTAGGCACAAGCTTCCCAGGCTTGCCCAGGGTGATCCTGGCAAGATTGCATTCTTTGATTACATCCCATATCTTTAGGAATTGAGCATGGGTGTGACGTTTGGCTAGTTCCGCAATTGTCCAAGTCATGGTAGGTGTGTGTCACTGGGTCCTACAGTTCTTAGTCCAGCCGCTTCTTTGGCTAAAGAGTAGACAATGCGATTACCTTTACTCCTGTCGTGTCATTCAACCCTCCTTAGGAGGGTTAGGAGAGCCAGCAAAACTTTGGCTGAATCTTGGTGGCACTCTAGTACTATCCCTGAAGTAACACGTTGTCTGTTCAGGGCTGATAGGGCGAGTCTACTATCAGTAAAGATTGTTATGTTTCCGTCAGAAATTCTTTTCCTGGTTATTTCTTCTGTGTGTATCGAAGAAGATGTATTTTCTAGTGAATGACATGCGTTTTCCCAATTTTCAAGAACAACAGCAACAATGGAATCGAAAATAACTGACTAATATCGATTTTCCCGATATTCGGCAAACTGTTCAAAATCTTCCTAAAAATTGGCTTCATGGGTAATTTCATGAAAACCAGTTTTTCAACCAGAATCAATTCGGATTCAGGAAATCATCCTCTAAAATCAGTCCGGAAAAACGTTATCAAAAATATAATAACTTACTCACAAAAGGTATAATATCAGGCTGTTTTCTCTGACTCCTGTAAACCCCATTCTTCATCGTTGAAAATGATGATGGTTCCTTCTATTTATCTGTATCAACTTTTGATAGATGAAACTGAAATTGTGACTTTCATGATGATGATACAATAGTTCGTGATTCATTGAGGGTAAGACTGAAAAAGTCGAGCTGAAATTTTATCAACGATTACATTCATAATATTCTACCACCCCATGTCAAAAAGTCAACAATCGAGTTGAGTTGAGATGGGATTTTTTGAAAATTCTTCTGGGAAGCTATTCAATTTCTCAGTAGCATAAAAATTTGATTTCATAACATGGACAGTGAATACATTTTGATTGTGATCAAATTGAGTTTTTTTATCAACTGAGGAAAAGAAGTGATGGAAGTAATGAAATATAAGGGAAAGAATAATTGTTTGTGTACTCACCTGAGGTGTGGAATTTTTTGAGAGGATCCACTATGGCAAAGAATCGATCTGCGGACAAAGCTGTCAGTGTGAATACCGACACGCCTATGGAGATGTCTTTCGCTGTTTCCGAACTCTTACAGATCAACTCCCCCCAAGGCCACGATTCCATAGTATACACAACGGAAGTGAAAGGAACGCTGGTGAGAATAACCAGAAGATCAGCCAGTGCCAAAGATAGAATGTATCTGAAAATGTTTAATTGTTATAGGTGAGTATCTATAGGTGATGTATGTCTCCATATTTTTCAACAGATCAAATAGAGGGAGGAAAATTAAAGAAAAATTATACCACACTATCGTAAATGTACGTAATAAAACTACTCCAAATCGGTCAGTTTTAGTTTAAAAACACCTGTAGTCGAATGAGTCAAACTATGCCTGCTGGAGGAGGTGTGTCATCTGTGGAAGTAAGGACTCTCCTAAATATTGAAATTTTCCCAAACATATGTATAACTTTGAGCCTTTTCAGTGTCATGTCGTGATGGATCTCTCATATAATGCAGTCAACAGAGACTATGGACGTCGAGTGAACGACCCCAACTATCGTTTCTGGAAAACCGGATCAAGAGCAAGAGCTCCTCTAGCCACGGATTCCTCGCGTCGGCCACATGTAGGGATGCTTTGAAAAGTTTAGCGATTTGATTCTGTATGCATATAGCCCTATAGCTTTGTATGTCACGAGCAGAACCCTTATTTTAGATTACAGGTATACGTTTTGATTCCTTAATATCTGGAAATATTCCAGATGTGGAAGACTCATTTAAGGAATACGATATAATTTCTGTTACAAGATTACAGACAGATTTGAGAATGTTCTCATTTATGTCAATCTATGCCAGCAGACTTGTTTGAAGCTTCAACTACATTTACCAATAAATGGACTTCCTTCTGAGCTTAACTGTAGTAAAACTTGTGATTTTCAGATATTAAATGAACCAGTGATATTCCTTGAAGCTGATGTGACTCATCCGCTAGCTGGCGGCAACAAGAAACCCTCAATAGCAGCAGTGGTTGGCTCTCTGGATGCCCATTCGTCACGATATGCAGCTACTGTTCGTGTCCAGCAACATCGACAAGAAATTATTCAAGAACTTAGTTCGATGGTGATGGAACTCCTGATAATGTTTTAGAAATTCACGGACGGCTACAAACCTCATCGTATCATTTTATATAGAAATGGAGTGTCTGAGGGACAGTTTCTTCAGCTACTCCAGCATGAACTTACGGCCATTCGTGAAGCCTGCATCATGCTTGAGTAACCTTCATAGTGGCACAGAAGAGACATCACACCAGGTTGTTCTGTTTTGATGAAGAAGAACAGAGAGAAAACCTCTCTATTGCTCATTGTGACCATAATAGTTCTTGCCCTAATTCTCATGAGCTCATTTTTATGAGTTCGCTTAATCATGATGATATGAAAGTAGTAGCATAAATTCACTTCTGACAGATTATTCAGGCTTGATGACATTATTGCCCCATCATAGCGATGTTGAGAACAACATGGAATTTCAACAGTTTAACATGTGTGTCTTAGGCACGACACTTTTCGGCCCATGTATGAACGTTACCATTTATTTACATTGTGATAACTTTCTTCAAGTGAAAGTTTGATGTATAATGTGTTTTTTCCTGACGAGAACATTTTTTGCTCCCATGTGCCGTAATTGGGTATCCAAAATAAGGAATATTTTGTCTGTACGTGAGATTCCTTCTACATGAAGACAAAAAATCCCTATTTAGATTACGCAATATTGATCAAATTTACCCATTCCCCTTATGTATTCTCAGCTTTAAAAAGCTTGGTTTGAATGATAACGATGCATAACATCAAGACCAAGCATCATTTTTCAGCGAAGCCTATTAAGTTTTCCTTTAGCACGATATAAGGATAATACGGTTATAAATGAGATGGTCCCAGGTTCGTTGATCCATATTGTTTGTTTTGTTTAGAATCCCGAAAAAATAAATTTCAAGAAAATGAGAATGATCGCAGTGTTCTGGTCAAACCTAACTCTGAACTGTTGAAACATTGTTTTGTAATTCGTAATTTCCGTTATTTCGTTTCATCGAATAAATTATAGAGCTATCACTATGCTCATGTTCAATCTTCACTNATGGAACTTACTTTTGAGCAATAAATATACTCACGTATTGGGAACATTTCTCATGTTTTTATGCCGTAGAAATATAATAACAAGAGTGCCATTTCCTAACACTCCCAAAACAAATATCAAGAAGAAAAGAACAGGGATAATGTAGGTCTCTGGTCTCTCACTATACGGAATAAGTGTTCCATTAATGTTGGAAGTATCGTTGTTTAGGAGTGAATAAGAACTGAAGTTGTCGTAGGTGGTGTTTTGGTTTTGTACTGCTGTCGTATTCATTGTTATTTGAAAGGCTCCCTATGTCCGTACATCGTTGAGTTCTAAATGATCGGGCCCCAGGGCAACACTTCGTTGCAAATGTGGTACCTGAAAGGAAAAACAAGTGTTTGAGCTGGGAAAATACATAGATAACGCAATATTGATCAAATTTACTTATTTGAGAAAGAAATCTCGATGCTCTATATGAAGATTGACCGAAATTAAAATTGTTATTGTTCTGTTATATAGATTATCGAAACCGAAAGATGACAATGAAAACTTTTGGAAAATAAAGTTTTTGCCTTTCTACGACTCCATCTTGATACAAAAAATGTGGGAATCTTGCAAAAAATGAAGACAGCAATCAATTTCAGAAGAAGTAGCTATATGCATAGATTTGTAGATCATGCAAATAAGTAACTTTCACACAAACTGAAGATATAAGCCTTTCAATTCAAACAAGATTCCTTTGGCTGGGATTAATGTCATTACGATGTCATGAATGATATGAATAAATCAAATTCATTTCATGACATGGAATCATAATTTATGAATGAATTGTGTGTTTTTTCTTACATATTGTAGAGCTCTGAAGAGTTCTAAGGCAAGTGTCATACGGCAAAACATCGATGTCTACCAGTGAGGATGACAGTGGTCCATGTAAGTGGACTTTCATTCAGTAAATTGTGTAGAAATCCTGTGGATGATATCTGATTCAGTTCCATAAAGAATGTTTGGAATAACAAACTGAGTAGAGAAACGTATTTTTTATATAATTCAGTGTTCATATAAAAGTATTTGTTTCGAACGAAGATTTTTAATGCAATTCAATGTTTATATAAAAGTAGCTGTTTCAGTGGGCTTTTTATTCCAGTTTGTGTGAAAGTTATTTTTTTGCATGATCTACAGATCTATGTATAGAGTTACTTCTTTTGAAATTGATTACTTCTATCCTTTCTTTGAAAGATTCTCACATTTTTTTGTATCAAGATTGAGTAGTAGAAAGACCAGCTTTTGCTGCTTTTACTGCTTTATGGTTGTCTATAATATTCCGGGTGATACCTACTGTCATTCAATACTGCATAGAGATTATAAGGACTGGTAGCTACATTATTTGCTGCATGATTAGTTATGTTCAAACCTCGAAACCAGGATTGAAGTTTTCCCTCATCTGGCGTGAATGTGAATTGATAATGTTGTTGTTTTTCTCGAATTATCGATGAAGGTTACCTCACGTGAAATATCAGTTTTTCGTCTAGCATACCTTCAATAAAAATTGTAGCGAAATGTTGAAACACTTCATACAAATGGAAAAATACAGGGTGTTCCATTTGAATAATATATAGCAAAACAAACAGACACGTGAGACAAAGGAAAAACTATATGAGCAAGGCATAACATGAATATATTATCTATCCAGAAGACTTCGAATATGTTTTCAAATCTTTCTTGAAATTATATATGGAGTGGTTACTCAATTCACTGGGTAGAGCGTTATATTGTTTGATAGAGTTGTGCCAGGTTTTAGCAGTCGGTAAACAACCTGACTTCTCGGAATTGGAGGATTAAAGACGAATGCAATCGTTATGTAGTTTTTGTAAGCGATTCACATCAAATTGTATCAAAGCAGGCCCGTAGATTTATCGCAATATGCTAATCTAGACAATATGAGGGTTTCGCAAAGTTTCAACTTCAATTTGGAAGTCATAATATCTGTACTTTGATAGAGTTGACGTAAGATGCTGTACGAGCTACAACAAAGTGAATTAATATGTTTGTGAAATCTCAGATCAGCATCTAGCCACAAACCCAAGTTATTGCATCTGTACATATTTGTAGTTAGTCTTGTCCAAGTTTGATTTCAATTCTTCCTTCAATTTCCCACCTTCAGTGTTTCGGGCCAAAATGTACAGCTGATATATTTTAGAATTCTATTTCAGGTTATGGGCTATAGATAGATCCAGTAACTTTTGAAGATCACTGTTAATTTTTTCCATTGCCACCTGCCATTCACTTGGAGAAAATCGATAATATAACTGAGTGTCACCTGCATAATGATGAACTGTGGAACTATTTTACATATTATTTTATGGAAATTATTTTATGGAAGTCAGATATATATAGAAAGAACAGAATTGGGCTGAAGATAGAGCCCTGAGGTACTCTATAATCAACAGGTAGAGCACTAGAACACTTTCCATCCAGACATACTGATTGAGTCCGATTTCTGAGGTAACTTTTCGATTGATTTACAGTCCCTTCACTAAATCCGAGAAATGACATTTTCCTACACATAATTTTGTGGTCTAATGTATCGAATGCTTTACTGTAGTCCAAGAGTACCATGGCAGTTACTTCATTATTATCAACTGATTTGAATAAATCTTGGATGATGTTGACAAAAGCGGTGGTGGTGCTATAGAATTCACGGAATCCAGGTTGATCATTTGTAATTAAATTATTATTGTATACCAAAGAATCAATTTGATCTTTCAGAATCCTCTCGAACACCTCACAAAATAGGTTAAATAGATAGGCAGTTTGCTAATTGGCCTCAAATGGGATAATTCAGTTGGATTTTCACATTTTGGCAAAGGCTGTATAATTACATGTTTCCATGTGGATGGAAAATTATTTGTTTCTATAGAGGAATTGAATATGTGTGTTATGTGTTTGATAAGATAATTTTCATTATACTTCAACATTATGATAGAAATGCTGTCAGATCCAGCACAGTTACTTTTCATACCACTGTTGTATTGTTGTATCTGAAGTGGTGTCACTCTGCGAAAATTCAAAGTAGGTCCATTATTGGTCTGAGTATAACTTACAATGAGTGTTTCATGATGATCATTGTTTGCAGGATGAATAATATTTGTGAAGTGGGAGTTTATTTGATTTGGAGTATAGAATTCTTTTTTGATAAGTATATATAATGACATAGTAGAATGAATATTTATTGGGATTTCGAGCCACAATAACACATGACATTGAAACGGACAAAACTTTTGAACCAATAATATTATTCTTCCTCAAAATATTTGGCTGTGAGCACGCATGCCTGAAACTTATTGTTGAATATTCAAAGGAATGTTATAAGTGATGTCGCAATTGAACACCTCCAATGAAGGTGCTATTTGTTTATTGATTCATTTATTTATCTATTATTCAAACAGGCCTACAAGGCCTATTACATGAATAAAAAAATGTTTGAAATATAAATTTAAATAGATACATTTATATGGCTTACATTCTAATACGTAATTTATGCTCAATTGAAGTTTATTATGAACTGTGTAACGAGTTTTTTTAAAGCGCTCAATGAAACTGTCCAATCTATATCCATCAGTAAGTTGAATGTATTGGCTAGTCACAACATGATTATGAGTGGCGACCTAACAGTAGTACAAACTAGGGGTAAATTGAACATAAGAGAATTTCTCGTTCTTCTTGCAGGCATATTGAATCTTATCCGTGTAAGGTATGATTCAGTATTTTGAATAGCAATATCAATATATTCTGGTTTCTTCTATTATCCAGAGACAATATTCTGAATTTATCTCCCAATTGTGCTGTTCTAACTATTCTATAGTCAGGATAGATACGATATCTTGAAAATTTGTTTTGAATTTTTTCTACTTCGTAAAGTGTAGTTTGATATTCTCCTAACCAAATTTCTGATCATCCAAATTCAAGTTTTGATCTGACTAATGTGTAGTACAAAATCTTTATAGCTTCTATATTGGAAAGATATGATGTTTGTCTTACTATGAAGCCTAACATACGGTTTGCTGATTTGATTATATTTTTTACATGGTCTGAAATGTAATCAAATCGGATCTCTTAACCTTGTTATTCTCCTAACACTGCATTTTTTCAGATTGAAAAATAGTTTATATTCACAACTCCATTCGCAAACATATTGCAAGTCTTTCTGCAACATAACACTTAAATTTTTGAAATATAAATTTAAATAGATACATTTATATGGCTTACATTCTAATACTAAATTTATGCTCAATTGAAGTTTATTATGAACTGTGTAACGAGTTTTTTGAAAGCGCTGAATGAAACTCTCCAATCTATATCCATCAGTAAGTTGAATGTATTGGCTAGTCTCAACATGATTATGAGCGGTGACCTAACAGTAGTACAAACTAGGGGTAAATTGAACATAAGAGAATTTCTCGTTCTTCTTGCAGGCACTTCGAATCTTATCCGTGTAAGGTATGATTCAGTATTTTGGATAGCAATATCAATATATTCTGGTTTCTTCTATTGTCTAGAGACAATATTCTGAATTTATCTCTCAATTGTGCTGTTCTAACTATTCTGTAGTCAGGATAGATACGATGTCTTGAAAATTTGTTTTGAATTTTTTCTACTTCGTAAAGTGTAGTTTGATATTCTCCTAACCAAATTTCTGATCATCCAAATTCAAGTTTCGATCTGACTAATGTGTAGTACAGAATCTTTATAGCTTCTATATTGGAAAGATATGATGTTTGTCTTACTATGAAGCCTAACATACGGTTTGCTGATCTGATTATATTTTTTACATGGTTTGAAATGGATAGTTTATCATCATCTTTAACCCCTCCCCTTGCATCATGTAATCAAATATTATCGGATCTCTTAACCTTGTTATTCTCATTACACTGCATTTTTTCAGATTGAAAAATAGTTCATATTTACAACTCCATTCGCAAACATATTGCAAGTCTTTCTGCAACATAACACTGTCTCTGACAGTTTCAATTTTTTTAAAAATTTTGAGATCATCTGCAAATAACAAACAGCTTGAGTGCGTGTGGACTGGGGGCAAGTCATTAATGAACATAATAAAAAGCAAGGGTCCTAAATTGGATCCTTGTGGTACTCCAGAATTAGCTTCATAATTCCCCGAGGTATTTCCATTATGCTCAACCACTAAAAATCTATTTTCAAGATAACTTCCGAACATTTTGAGTGTGCTATCAGAGAGTCCAAACTCATTTATCTTTGTTAATAGTACATCGTGATCAACTTTGTCAAAAGCCTTTTTGAAATCAGTGAATATTAGATCATGTTGTGACTTACCCTCAAGAGTTTTAGACCATGTAG